GAAGGAACCATTTTCAAACAGATTAGAAGTATCATTTACATATAAGCCAAATCAAGGCAATAAAAACGGGAACTAAGCTGTTTTGATCCACTAATCATTTTTATCTACTCTTTAAGAATGTCTCTACAAGGCCACTTAGTAAAATCGTTTCTTTGTACAACTTGAAATCATTTTAAGTCCGTCATTCTTACTTTTTCTGAAATCATATATTTGCCATATTGGCCTAAGTTGATGAGATTTCTAACTTTGATTGGAATAAAACCCTAGATTATAAGCTCAGTAAGCACAGACACTCTTCTTTATCCATCATGGTAAACACACTGCCAAGTGACTGACACATAGTAGATGCTCAATAAATATCTGCTGCATTCCAGGAGTTGCTCTAGGAGCTGGGGATTCTGAAACCCAATCCTCTGTGTGGTGCTGTGCTCAAGTCCAAGCAAACTAAAATTATCTCAAATTCTTCCATGGCCTCAAGTACTAACAGATAATAATGACTGTCGTGGTGGCGGGAGATTAGGGGTTGCTTCTGGAAGCAGCAGAGTGAGAATGATGGAGCTGGTGTGGACAACTGCCCTTCTCCATCTTATTATCTGTCTGTTCCTGAATATGATTACATTTTATCTCCCACCTATGACTGAAAAAGAAAAGTAAACCCTTCTCCACTGGTTGAGGGCAACTAGTTCCCAATATCATTCTGCTACCACTATGGTTCCAGAGCCTTCTTGTCTCCACCCAAGATTTTAAAAAGTCACTTATGCCCATTGGCACTCCGGTGAAATGGTAGCAAATATGACACCATAAAGATCTTGACTTCCATCCCTGAGTTTAGAGTCCACAAGCCAATCTCTCACCCTTACTGGGCCTCAGTTTTCTTGTTTACTAAATAAGAGGATTGCTCTTCTAGATAAATCCCTAAAGTCCTTGCCAGGCCTGTGGAAACCTCCCAGGTTTCCAGAGTGAGATCCTGGGTCCTTAGGGTTTAATAGGCAGTTGTTAGGCTGCCCCCTCGTTCTCCCCACCCCCACCCCAGAAGGCCCCAGCTTAAGTTTAAAAAGTCAAATTGCTTTGGGCAATTCAATCAAGCTCGGCTACTTCAAACTTGCCGAATTATAAATAGTGCCAATTATTTATGTTCTATATTAAACTCCACTGTGTTTCTTTGAGGTATTAAAATGTAAATTATGCAACAGAGATAAATGGATGGAATTTTTTTCCACATGGGTAAAGAAAGCTGCAGGTCCTAATTATAGTGAGATATCAGTGGAGGTGGACAAAGCCAGAGTCTGAGAAAATGGGTCAAGCAGTTGGACACCTCAGTGGCATGGTAGAGTAAAAACTGCTGCCACTGTGAAAGCCAGACACTCTTTTTTGGGGAATGGTGGGTACCGGGGATTGAACTCAGGGGCACTCTCCCACTGAGCCACATCCCCAGCCCTATTTTGTATTTTTTATCTACAGACAGGGTCTCACTGAGTTGCTTAGTGTCTCCCTGTTGCTGAGGCTGGCCCTAAACTCACAATCCTCCAGTCTTAGCCTCCTGAGCTGCTGGGATTACAGGCATGCACCATTGTGCCTGGCTACAAAAACCAGACACTCTTTAAGCAGGAAGAAGCAAGATCAAACGTATGCTTGATAACTTCTTGTTTTAATGAAAGTACACATTTAATGTAACAAGTATATGGCTACTCGTATCTTCCAGAGAACACATTCCCTCTGACTGTCACACCCCACACCCTATCCCTGAAGGCTCAGCAGGACAGGAGGGTAGATTCAGCTGCCATGTATCTAGTGGTCACCTTCTGTGATCCCCAGGCTGATGCTCTCATCCATGATACACTTCCATGGACAAACTCAAGGCTTTGATTGCATTTAGAACTGAGAATGAGTAAGGGAGATCACAGTTTAAATTTTAAACGAACAAATGTAAAATCTACAAACCTTAGTTTATTACTGAGTACAACTATTCATTGTAAGGCCCCTCACACCTGGTTGCTACAGTGGTACATCATGAACTCAAGATTAAACCAGTGCCCTTTATCCTCCAACTATTTTTATGAAAATGCTGGGTCAACACTTCTCTGTGTTTGTCCCTAGCCTTATTCCCTTGTCAGAATTCTAGGGAGGACCTTAAGGATGAGGAAGAAGAGAACAAAGGCCTTAGGCTTGGGGCCCAGACCCAACTGAAGGTGCATCCACATCAGACCTTGTAGGCCAGTGTGACAGGAAGACAGTTCCAATGTAGTTCATTTTGAGGTGTCTTGAACAAGGCCATGTGGAGTTATATGAGTGCCCCACACTGGCCAGTAATCTGGTGCCTCTCATAAAAGGGATGTCATGTACTTATTTGTTCATGCTTATTCAGAAGAGGAGGGGGACGATGTTTGGAGCTGGGAGCAGGATATGGAATGGTGGCTGGCTTTCCCTTTGTCCAGGACAGTAACTGTCAGCACTAATGTTCTGAACTCTTATCAAATAAAAGCCCATGCACACTTAAAAATGGCTAAGATGGTAAATTGCATGCTGTGTGCTTTTTACCCAATTAAAAGGCGGGTTCTGTAGTTAAAGAGACCCACAGTCCTTAGCTGTTATCATTCCATATGATCCCTGTGCTCCCCAGTGGGAACGCCACCAGCCTTCCCCAGCTGCTCAGGTGGGAATTTACCTCAGGTCCTGGGAAAGTCTTCAGCCAACAACTATCTGCCCTGTCCAATTCCAGAACTGGGTGTCTTCTATTAGAGGAACCATTGCTTGATCCAACCTGATCTCAAAATTTAAACACTTTTGGAAAGAGTGTCATGAAGTTAAGACTTTCCCAAGGAGATGGTGAGACTGGGGTGGGAGAAATGGAAAGAGACAGGAGAAATGGAGAGTGAGGAAGAGAACAAAGGAAGAAGGGGCAACAGATGCCAGGGTCAACACTGGGGGACAGCAGCCTTCTGAAGACCATAAACCTGGATATGAACATATTTGAGTGTAAAGGGAACAGGAAGTCTGTGATATGAACTAGTAAAATCTGTCTGTACAGTTTAGCTGCTGTCCCCTTCAGCAAGACCAACATTATAGTTTGGATCTGGACTGTGCCTCAAAGCTCCTGTATTGAAGGCTTGGTCCCCAATGCAGCAATGTGAAAGAAGCAGGGCTTTGGGGAGGTGATTAGATCATGAGGGCTCTGTTCTAATCAAGGAATTAATCCACTGATGAGTTTATAATTGAATGGCTTAATGGGAGTGGGAAACTTGTAGGAGGAAGGACCTACTTGGAGGAAGTGGGTGACTGGGGACAAGCCCTTGAAGGGTGGATCTTGCCTCTACCCCCATCCTTGCTTTGTGCCTCTCTTGGGAAGAGCAGCTTTCCTGGACCACACCCTTCAACCATGATGTTCTGCCTCGCCTCAGACCCAAAGCAATGGAGTTAGCCCACCACGGACCCTCTGAAACCATGAGCCAAAATAAGTCTTTTCTCCTCTAAGTTGTTGTTCCTCAGGTATTTTGTCACAGGGATAAAAAGCTAACACAAACAGAAACTTTCCAAAATGAAGCCCAAGGCCAAAGTCAGGTCACCAGGTAGTGTGCATCAATTGACTTGTGACCCCCCCAAAAAAAGTTTTGCCCCTTTTTTCATCAGCTCAATGTTTTCACAAGTCCCAACTTATTTACCTACCAAAGAAACTGTGAGTTACTTCACTCATACATTTAACTCAAAAGAAAGAAAAGGCCTAGAGATGACACTTAAAAATAGAGTTATCCCAAACGTAGCAAAGTGGCATCTTATAAGAGAATTCCTACATGTCTTTCTAAGTCTTTGTAACAATGCAAAATTGCATTTCTCGCTAGAAAGGCATGACCGAAAATGTTTCCCAGAAATCCCATTGGTGGTCTGGTTCAGATGCAGAGGTCATGATTTCTCTGAAGGGGAGAAAAAAAACACAAAACTGCCACAGGGAAATTATGAAGTGCCTTTATGTCATTTTCCTAGACCTCATCTACTCTGGGTCTCCTGACTCTGCCTCTCTTTTGTGTCTTTTTCTTCAAATGCCTATAATTCTGTCAAGTAATGCAAAGCCATTTTTCTCCCCACCAAAATCAAATCAGGCCTCCAACAATTTGAATGTCTTATTTAATTTATGTAACCAGAAAATTTTATAGTAGAGAGTGATATGGTTTGAATTTGAGGTGTCTCTTGAAAGTTCATGTGTGAGACAATGCAGGAATGCTCAGAGGTGAAATGACTAGATTATGTAACCGAATCAGTGGATTAATACATTTGATGGACTAGTAATTTGAAAGGACTACTGTACCACTGTACCGGGGGATAACTATGGGCAGGTGGGTGTGGCTGGAGGAAGGAGGTCATTGAGGGGCATGCCTTTGTGGGTTTTTTGAGCAGCTTTCCTCCACCATACCCTTTCACCACGATATTCTGCCTCGCCTCAGGCCCACAGTGACAGTCAGCTAATCCATGGACTGAACCTCTGAAACTGTAAGCCAAAATAAACTTTTCCTCCTCTAAAGTGTTCTTGCCAGGTATTTTAGTTACAACAATAAAAAGCTGAATGTCACATCTAGTTCTCCCTTAGGTGTGAGGGATGTGTTCCAAGACATTTTGTGGATGCCCCAAACTGCAAATAGTACCAAACCCTGTATATACTATGATAAAGTTTAATTTACAAATTGGACACTGTAAGAGATCAACAATGATAATAAAATAGAACAACTATAACAACTATAACTAATAAAATTTATTTAAAACTATAATAACCTTCTATTTCTAGAATTTTCCATATAATATTTTTGGACTGAAGTTGATCATGGGTAACTAAAAAAGCAGAAAACGAAACCATAGATAAAGGGGGAACAACTATTACCTCCAAATCAATTTCATTCTGTCTCCTTTTGTCCATGGTATCTTGGTATTTTAACAAATTGGAACCCTTGTTTTCTTCTTTCCCAAACTTGATCCAAAACCCCACACTGAGCAGATGGTGAAGAGGTACCTACCTTGCCCAGGCCCGGAGTGTCCTTCACCTTGTTGACAGCCCTCAGCAGACAGGGTGGGGCTGGGGGAGGGGAGGTCTGCAGAATCCCACTGAAGCTGGTGGCAAAGAGAGGTGTCTCAGCAACAGAAGAAGTAGAAGGTCGATGTTTCTTCTTTTTGGAAGACAGATTTAACTTCTGAGCAGCTCTGCAGGGGAAAATGCAGAAAAGGAACAATTAGGGAAAATTAATTGTACATTCTGATATGCTAGGGCTACTTTTTTTTTTCTCTTAAAGATCCCCTTTAATCATTCCTTCTCTCTCCATCTTCACCATCCTTTGAGTAGGGAGGCTTTCATTCAACATGGTAAACTTAATGAGCTACCCAATCATTTATACTGCTAGGGAAAAAAAAGTCATAAAATTGCCTGGTTCTGCAATCACAATTTACAAAGAATTGTTTGTTAACTACCAACACTTAGCTTAAGTATGAATAAAGCTGGTCATCTTTGGGAATAAACAGCATCTATTAAGTTAATCATTCCATAACTTCTCTGGCATAAACTCACACGTGAGGGACCTTATGAGCTCATTCAAAAATTCTAACACCTTATAAAACCCAAACCAGTCTAATGAAGAACCATGCAGTGACCAGTTGGGGCATGACCTGTATGTGGCTATGGAAGAAAAACACAATGTAATAGGGAAGGTATAAATCAAACTGGTTTTAGAAACAACACTGAATCAGAATATTGACTCCAGCCAGCGGGGGTGGGTGTGAAGATTCAGGGCTGCTCCTGTGATCACAGGCTTTTGTACAGAGTGGTCTTTAAATACAAAAAACTGATGGGCATGTATAAAAATGAGGGGGGCCAAAGCAACAAGGGGACATAGAGGGTGCAGACAGGTCCAAGTGTGAGGGGAGGTTGCTGGCATCATTAATAGCATTGGCTGTTCACATAACATCTACCATCCTGCAAGGGCCCTGTAACATGATGATCCTACCACAGGAAAGAGGAAACTGAGGCAAAGGGTGTTGTGAGTGACAGGCAATTCACAGATTCTCCTATACTCATTTCTGGATTAATTCTTGGTGTTTTCACATCATGCATGTATTGTAAGAATTCCAATTTCCTTATCAAATGCTATTAAACATTGGAGCAGCTGCTTAAAACAAAAGGACCACCATACTTCATTCTACAGATCCAAAGCTCACAATCTATCCAGTGTTCTTACCAATTACATAACAGGACAGAAGAGAAGCAGGACAGGAAAGACAAAAATCAGCATTGTTTATACCTTCCCCCTCAAGAGGTCCATCTTAATGATTTGGAATAGTGGATTTTAATTTTGTATCAGTGACTATCCTGCTCAGGGGATTGACAAATCTCCTGAAGTATAAAATTGCCACTTGCACAAAGAGAGCACGTGGTTTTACCATTTCAAAACTTAATGTGCCTTTAGTGTAAAACTGAAAATCTATTTCTAACAAGAATGAAATAGAGAGGGATGGGTCACAGAAAGAATAACGCATTTTGATGGAAAGATATTTCAAAGTCCCAATACTTAGGGAACTCAGAAGTCACTCATTGTAGGATGATGTGAAAAAAGGGCACTGGAAGGACATTTCCACAATGCTTCTTTTTCCAATCAGTGAAAAAAAATACTAGGAATTTTTTTTTATGATTTTATTGCCACTCTTCCTGATGGTTTCCTTCTAAAATTAAAAGTGAAATGGATTCATTCAATGACTGGTCTGGAGCTTCTCTTGGCAGGTACCATTCATCTTTGAGATTCTCTCCCTAAATGAAGAGTGACTCCTCCTGAGGTGCGTGTCAGTCAGTGGCAGGAGGCATCATGTCTCTACTTTCTGACACCCTTGCCTCTGCGATCCCTGGCTGCTTTCAAGTCAGGCTGCCAAGTTCTCTGGGAGTTAGCAAGAAGGGGAACATCAGGCTCCGCTAGTAACTGGAGGCAGTGTTTATCCATTAACATGTAGGATTCTTTTGTACAGTGTAAATAAGGATGGGGCAGCCATCCTTATTTGAATGAATTAATTCTTATTCATTATGTTAATCCCCTGAGCATAATAGTCATGATACAACAGTAATTCTTATTCATACTTAAGCTAAGTGTTGGTTGGTGTGATTCCTACTCTCCCACCCCCTGGGGTTCCCAGGTCAAATAGCAAGATAGGGAGGAAGGGGTCACACTGAAAGCCAACTTAGAAGACTGATGGCTTCCCCCCACACCACCATCTCTGCCACTTATGCCCATGTACAGGTGGGAAGAGGAGGAAAGCAAGCATCCTTACAGTGAAAGTAGACACAGGGCAGCACCACTCCAAGATGTTCCTCCTACAATGTCACCCTCTCACTCTGTACTAGATCATTCCCAACGGCATAAAATATATTGTCATTTCTCCTATTTTAAAAATCAAACACAAACCCTTTACTTAGTTCTCCAATTCTTCCCCTTCCATTCTTTGTAAGTTTATTTTGATCAGCTGTATGTCACACTCCCCACCTCCTTCCCAAACAGCTCTGGTCTAGGTTACCAGTGACCACAAAATTGGAAAATGTCCCGGTTTGCAGCCCCCATCATGACCTGTCAGAGCACTGAGATGTCTTTCTTCTTTCTTTCTCCTCTGTGCTTTCTTCTCTAGGCTTCCAGGACACATTTCTGTCCAGTTTCCTCTGCTGGTCCCTTCTCTTCTGCTCAATTTTTCCATGAGGAATTATAGGGCTCAGTCCTTGGTCCCCTTCATTTCTGTACACAGTCCCTTGGTGTTTGCTTCCAGAATCACAATTTAAATCACATCCTTATGTGGATGACTTCACAAGTTTTATTTCCAGCTTAGATCTCTCTCTGGTCTAAGTTAGACTTTCTGAATCTGGTTTACTTCCCCTTAGCATGATGTTCTTTAGTTCCATTCATATACCAGCAAATTATATAATTCCATTCTTCTTTATGGCTGAGTATATATATACTACATTTATCCATTCATCTATTCAGGGACACCGAGGCTGGTTCCATGCACTGCTATAAACATTAGTATGTGGGTATCACTATAGTAGGCTGATTTTAGTTCTTTGGGATAAATACCAAATTGGTATAGCTAGGCCTTATGATAGGTCCATTCCTATTCTTTTTGAAGGATATTCATACTACTTTCCAAAGTGAGTGTACTAATTTGCAATCCTACCAACAATGTTTGAGAATACCTGCCCCCCCATCTTTACCAGCATTTATTGTAATTAGTATCCTTGATGATTGCCATTCTAACTGTAGTGAAATGAATTCTCAGTGTAGTTTTGATTTGCATTTCCTTGACTCTAAAGATAGTTAATATATATATGAAAAAACGTTGACTATTCGCATTTCTTCTTTAGAGAAATGTCCACTAAGTTCATTTGCCCATTTATTGATTGGGTTTTCTTTCTTTGTTTCTTTCTCTCTCTTTTTTTTTTTTTTTTTTGGTGTTAAATTTTTTTAGTTCCGGATATGAATCTCATCAGAAGTAGAGCTGGCAAAGATTTTCTCCCATTCTGTAGGATCTCTCTTCACACTCTTGGCTCTTTCAATGTGCAAGAGCTTTTAAATTTGATGCCATCTCACTTATTGATTCTTGGTTTTATTTCTCAAGCTTTCTCTGACTTTATTAACAAAGTCAGAGTCTGCACCTATAAGTTGGAGTGTTGGCTCTCTGTTTTCTTGTAGCAGTTATAGTGTTTCTGGTTTATCTTTGACCTATTTTGAGTTGATTTTTTTGTATAGGGTGAGAGACTGGATTATAGTTTCATTTTTCTACATATGAATATCCAATGTTCCTAGCACCATTTGTTTAAGAGGTTGGTTTTTTTTCACCAGCATATATATATATATATATATATATATATATATAATCTTCTTCAAGGATCAAATGACTGTATCTACATAGGTTTGCCTGTGTCTTCTACTATTCCATTGGTCTTCATGTCTGTTTTAATCCCAATACCATGCTCATTTTGTTATTATAGCTCTGTAGTATCATTTGAGATCCAGTGTCATGATATCTCTAGCATCATTCTTCTTGATCAGGAGTGCTCTGGCTATTCTGGGTCTTTTATTATTCTGTGTGAGTTTTAGGACATTTTTTTCCTAGTTCTGTGAAGAATGTCACTAGTATTTTGATGGTGATCCCAGTGAATCTGTAGATTGCTTTTGGTAGTATGGTCATCTTGACAATATTAATTTTGCCTATCCAAGGAGATGGGAAGTCTTTTCATATTCTAAGGTCTTTTTCAATTTCATTCTTCTCTATTCTATAATTTTCATTGCAGAGGTCTTCCAACTCTTTCCACTATTTTTTGACTCTTCTTTTTCTCACATCACACATCTAACCCATCCAGAAATTCTGTTGACTCTAACTTCAAATAGATCTGTGACCCAAACCCCACTCATTGTCACCTCCTTGGTCTGAGCTGCCAACCTCTCTTGCTGGATTTGCTGTAAGTTTCATAGCTTGTTCCCTTCTTCTGTGTCCCCTATCACACATCTATTTCCCACACAATAGTAAAAGTTATTCTTTCAAAACTTGTCTGCTCAGGAAGGCACAGAGACAAACCCACATAAATACAGTTATCTCATACTAGACAAAAGTGTCATAAACATATGTTGGAGGAAAGATAGCCTCTTCAACAAACAGTGCTGGGAAAACTAAAAATCCATATGTAGCAAAATAAAATTAGACCCCTATCTCTCACCCTGTACAAAACTCAACTCAAAGTGGATCAAGGACCTTGGCATTAGACCAGAGACCCTGAGCCTACTAGAAGAAAAAGTAGCCCCAACTCTCCATCAAGTCAGCTTAGAAACCAACTTCTTAATAAGACTCCTAAAGCACAAGAAGCAAAACCAAGAATCAATAAATGGGACTGTATCAAACTAAAAAGCTTCACAGCAAAGGAAACAATCAAGAATGTGAATAGAGAGCCTACCAAATGGGAGAAAATCGTTGCCATGTGCAAGTATTAATTTCTAGGATATATAAAGAATTAAAAAAAACATAACACCAAACAAACAAACAAAAAACAAATCACCAAATCTATAAATGGGCAAAGGAACTGAACAGACACTTCATGAAAGAAGAAATATGATTGGTCAACAAATGTATGAAAAAATGTTCAACATCTCTAACAATTAGAGAAATGCAAATGAAAACTACAT